ATGTCTATAACTTCTTTTTGTTGTTGTTGTTGTTAATCCTTGCCCAAGGATATTTTTTTCCCATTGGTTTTTAGGGAGAGTGGAGGAGAGAGGGAAAGACAGAGAGTAATACTGATGTGAGAGAAACACATCAATTGGTTGCCTCCTGCATGAGCCCCTAGCTGGGGAGGAGCCTGCATTCAAGTTACGTGCTCTTGGCTGGAATCGAACTTGGGACCCTTTGGTCCACAGGCCATCATTCTATCCTCTGAGCCAAACCGGCTAGGGCTCTATCATTTCTTCATTAAGTGTGATATTTACAGTGAGGTCTGAATAGATGTACCTCATGAAAGGTCTAGGATAGGGGTGTCGAACTCAATCAGAGAAGGGGCCAAAATCTAAAATCCAGCCTAAATTGTGGGCCGAATGGTTTACTGAACAGTCATAAACTGTCATTGTGATGGAAACGCAGCGGAGTGCAGTGATGACAGCGCGGTGCGGGCCACGTTGCAAGGCCTGGCGGGACGGATTTGGCCCGCGGGCCTTGTGTTTGACACATGTGGTCTAGGACAAAAGTAGGAAAGAAATCCAGAGCACCCTATTTTGGTTAAATATTTTGCTCTGCAAAGCACAGGGAGATAAATGTGCTAAAGCCGTGGTGGGCAAACTGTGGCTCTCGAGCCACATGCGGCTCTTGAGCCACATGCGGCTCTTTGGCCCCTTGAGGGTGGCTCTTCCACAAAACACCATGGCCTGGGTGAGTCTATTTTGAAGAAGTGATGTTAGAAGAAGTGTAAGTTGAAAAAATGTGGCTCTCAAAAGAAATTCCAATCGTCGTCCTGTTGATATTTGGCTCTGTGGACTAATGAGTTTGCTAGAGTAAAAGAAGACACTGAGCAAGCTGCCCCGGATTGGAGCCCTCGCTGGGCCAGGCTGAGGAAGAGGCTCTGCGTGTGGGCTTCATGCTTTCTGCTGCTAATTGTGCCTGTTCAGCAGGAGGAAGAGGAAGGAGGCTGCTGTCCGTGTGAGAAATTGGGGACAGGTGGTTTGAAAGAGTTGCCAGAGGCCCATCCCCTGGCCTTCGCAGCCCATTCAGATCGTGATTTTGCAAATCCGAGAGTTGTTTACACAGAAATGTCTACAGCTCCTAAAACTGCCCCCAGCCCAGAAAGAAGGGGAAGTTATGACTGGAACAACACCTAAGTGGTTAAAGAACTCAAAATGCTGATCTTCTTGTTGTGTTGGATTGCTCACACCAGGAAAAAAACAAAACCAAAAACTTCACAGTAGCTCAAGTCTTGAGCTGTGCCTGATGAGTCAGCTCCAGAAAGAAGCTCATTCTGGAAACTTCGACCTTTGCTTATGCCCCTGGATGGCAGAGACCATGCAGGAGGTGAGGACCAAGAGGCTGATAGAGGGAGACCCTCCATGCACACACCTCACATATTGTCTGTTGGGATCTAACCCTCCCTCTACTGCTTGTAATTAAAAAAAAAAAAAAAAAAAAAAAAAAAAAATATATATATATATATATATATATATATATATATATATATATATATATATTATTGATTTTTTACAGAGAGGAAGGGAGAGAGATAGAGGCAACGATCAGCTGCCTCTTGCATACCCCCTACTGGGGATGTGCCCGCAACCAAGGTACATGCCTTTGACCAGAATCAAACCTGAGGTCTGAATAGATGTACCTTTCAGTCCACAAGCTGACACTCTATCCACTGAGCCAAACCCGTTTTGGCTACTGATTGCTATTTTATCTTAACCTCTCTGAATCTCTTCATATTCAAATAGAAAGAGCTCTCTTCATATACAAATGGAAAGATGACCTCTTTCAGAGTTGTTACAAAAAATTAAATGAGATAAACTAGTCACAAAGTCTAGTGCTAAGAAGTAAAATGATCAACACACATAGTGGGCCCATGTCAAAATTCTTATTTTAATTCACTCATGAAAGATCGGTAAAGATGTCTGTTTGCTTAAACCAGCTTGAAGAATATTTGAGAATCTATAAAGACAGCCAGAAAAGGTGTGTCTAAGTAAGACTCTTCAGTGAGCTGCGAGACACTTTTAACTTTAAAAAGAGTGATGAAAAAAACCCTAACAGATAGGGGTTTACCATCTCTACCAGGCTATACAATCATATTACTCCATCATGCAGGTAAACTGGCTTTATCCACTGGGATTTGTTAGTCAAATATACTGTGTTGACCTTTGACATTTCTCAAAAGTGTCAGGTGGTGGAAGATTAACAAGTGGCCGCACTTGCTTCTATTCAGACAGATCCCAGCCGCAATCAAAGGTGTAAGCAATCAGCATGTTGTCTTTTTCCGGGTCTGAGGTGGTATTTCCCGTTCACGCTGAGACCCAGCGGAAGCCCAGACCCTCTTCAGCCCATTTGATTTCAGGCTGAATTCCCAGGCCCGGAGGCCCGGAGATAGGCTGGATCTGAACCCCAACAGGATGGTCTGGCTCCCAGGTGGAGGAATGCATGGGACATCCTTTCCATGGGAATAAGCTCATTTGCTCAGCTGCTAGACTCCAGTTGCCCAATTCTAGACCCTCCCCCTGCTTTTAGGATTTTGGTCATAACCCTGAGGAACCCAGAGTCAGGAGTAGGTGGGGGGGAATGAGGGGTAGGGTAGAACCTGACTGAAGAAGCAGGATTTCAGGCAGGTAATCCTTCCAGGCCCCGGAAATCTCAGTGGCCGGATCTGCCTCAATTGATAAGCCAAGGTCTCCTTTATGGGCCCACATGTTGCACGGGGTTTCCTGCTAAACAACTTATTTCTCAACTTCCCACCGCCCGGTTCTTCTTTTGTAGCTGGGGAAACAGGAACCCACATCACTTGGCTCTGGGCTACCAGCCTGTATGACTCTGCCCAGCGGTTCCCGTAATGCCCACAATCCTGTTTGTAAACCTCAGTCTCCACGCCCCCTGCCTCCCTGAGCCTTCTAGGGAGGGCCCCTCACTTCCACCTCTTTCTCTGGGCGGCCAGTGACAGTGTGTTCAACTGTTGAGAGCTCAAGGTCAATGTGATTCTTTTTAAAAATATATATTTTATTGATTTTTTTTTTTTATAGAGAGGAAGGGAGAGGGATAGAGTTAGAAACATCAATGAGAGAGAAACATCAATCAGTTGCCTCCTGCCTACCTCCTACGGGGATGTGCCCACAACCAAGATATGTGCCCTTGACCGGAATCAAACCTGGGACCTTTCAGTCTGCAGGCCTACGCTCTATCCACTGAGCCAAACCGGTTTCGGCATGTGTGGTTCACAACCGGTGCCCATCACATACAGTGAAACGCCAAGGGGGTGCTCTGTCACCTTCCCCATGGCTTCTGAGTGGGCTGAGTCAGCAGACCCCGTGGCAAACAAAATCTGATAATGGTAAGTCTCTCCCTCCCACCTCTCCAGAGGGGGTTCCTCTTCAGCCCAGGCTCCTGGGGTCAGAGGCACACAGCCATGCCCCAGGGGGGTGAAGGGCCCTGGGTGCTTAGGCAGAGGCTCAGAACCTCATGCACACAGAGGGACCCCAGCCTGCCTTTGTCTCCCCAGGACAGTGCACCCCAGCTTCACTGGGCAGGAGAGGAGGGGAGAGGAGTGTGGGCAGCAGCAGCGAAACTGACTGGCCCTTAGCAGCCTGTCCCTGCCAAGTCCACCCACCCAACCACCAAACAACAGACCATCGTGGAGTCACCGCACCTTTCATTCCTCATGTCCGGCCGCAGGGCCAGGGGCCTTCACCTTTTCGAGGTCTCAGACCCTCTAGGGCAGTGTTTCCCAAACTTTTGACATATGTGTACCCCTTCTATTATTTTCGTAATGTGGAGTACCCCTCGTACTCATGAGAACATAGAATTAGGTGCATCTAAGCACGGTGCAGTGCATATCCCCACCAAACTCCGGTGCAACGTGTGCCCCCACCAAACTCTTCCCGTACCTCTGGGGGTACGCGTACCACACTTTGGGAAACACTGCTTTAGGGAATCTGAGGAATGCCAGGGAGGAATGTGCTGAGGTGCACACTCACCATGATGCATCCACTTCCGTCCCATTCAGAGATGTATAGTACACCTCCTTCACCAACACCGCTGCCTCCTCACCCCAGTGGGGGCCACAGAACACTTCCAAGGTGCGGCAAGAAGCCCAGCTCAGGGCTGGGCTCTGAAATTCTAAACACCTACCTCCTGTCACACCACATACAGAATTAGTCTCTCTCTCTCTCCCTCTCTCTCTCTCTCTCTCTCTCTCTCTCTCTCTCTCTCTCTGTCTTTCTCTCTCTCTCTCACACACACACACACACACACACATACACACACACAAACACACTTCTATGCTATGTTTGCCCTAATTTCCCAAGAGTCTCACCTAAGACACTTAGCTGGAACTTAAAATTTAGTTGAGAGAACAATAGTGTTCCTTTTTTTTTTAGGAGTCTTTTTTTTTTCCTTTTAAATATATTTTATTGATTTTATACAGAGAGGAAGGGAGAGAGATAGTCAGAAACATCGATGAGAGAGAGTCATCGATCAGCTGCCTCTTGCACACCCCCTACTGGGGACGTGCCCGCAACCAAGGTACATGCCCTTGACCGGAATCGAACCCGGGACCCTTCAGTCCCCAAGCCGACACTCTATTGAGCCAAACCGGTCCCGGCACAATAGTGTTCCTTACATCCCTCTGTTTCCATGTCACCGTTTGGAAGACCAATAGCTACAGTATCGTGGGCTTTTTAGAACCCCAAGTCCTAGAGCCAGGGACTCAGGGGCCAGGGCTAGAAGAGACTCAGAAATCATTCAGGGGAAAATCATTTGGAGAGGAAACCAGACACATGGCAAAAACAAAGTTCATGAGACATAGGGCGTGGGGGCGTGGGGGCGTGGGGGGTGGAGGGGTAGCAACAGAAGCTTGTTTCTGTCCCTGTGGGTTTTCCAACCCCCCCCCCCACCCCCACCCCACAAGGAGCTTCCTTCCACAAGAGGAACGAGAGAGAGAGAGGCCTGAGGTATCCATCACTTTATTATCATTGAGGGATGAGTCCAGGGGCCCAGCCCCGGGCCCAGCAGCCCCAAGCCCAGCAGCTACTCCTTGTGGCTCTCTTCATGGGCAGCCAGGCCCACCTTTATCACCAGCGTCAGGTACTCGTGGAAGTTGATAGCATTGTCTTCATTGATATCCAGCTCTTTGAACCAGGTGTCTGCGCTCTTTTTCTGCCAAGATGGAGGAGGAAGAAGCAGAGTGTGAAGATCGGAGTGAGTGCTAGCTGCAGAGTGGCCATTTCCCCGGTCAGCGGGGATGGGGAGAGACAGTGGCCCCGGGCGTCAGCAGAGCCAGGCAGAGAGCCAGGGGACACCTGGCCACACCTCACCTTCATGTACTGAGGGCACTCGGCCTCCAGCAGTTTCTTCAGGTCGTCCCTGTAGAGGGCGTGGTCGTTCCCTTGCAGCATGGAGTACCGGTGGTAGACCTCGATGAAGTTGTTGAGGGTGCTCTCCAGTTCCGTCAGCATGGTGCCCGAGGAGTTGCTTCACCTGAAAAAGGGAGCACAGGGGTGGGGATGGCGCCTCTGCCCCCAGTGGGGTGAAGACTAAAGGGACACTCAGAAGGCTCATAACCCAAGTAGTGGCTTTGTCCTGGCCTGCACCATCCAAACAACCAGACCCAGAGGATGCTCTAGCTGTGATGAGAAGGGGTGAGATGAAATGGATCAGAGTGTGGAGTGTGGAGTGTGGTAGGGAGTAGGTACACACACACACACACACACAGTACCTGCCAACTCCATGCCTTCACCCTCTGCTCAAGAAAAGCCCAGCTTAAGAAAGGAACATGCCCTCACCTACAAGTGCTAGAGGGCTGGCTCTTGCTTTGTCCCTGGCTCACTCTTCTCCCCAGGAGATCTGGATCTTGGTTCCTTTCCCTCCCTTCTCCCCACCCCCAGCCTCCCCCAGAGAAGCCCGAAGTGTGGGGCCCACCAGCTCAGTCCACTTACCAGGTCTTCCTGAAACAGCGCTGACAATTGACAGAGTTGACAGATGCTCAGGCTGAGCGGCGCTCCCTTTTATAGTGGCTGGGCTTGGCCGCTGCCTGAGAGGGAGGGCGAGGCAACTCCTCCCTTCCAGGTTGCTACAGCCTCAGGTTTCCTAAGCAGGTGATGGGGCAATCAGGCAGCCTGGACAGTTCTGAGGGCCGGGTGGGGCAGGGGAGGAAGAAGGGGAGGAGGAAGGTTTTTCCCAGGCAGTAGTGCCCAGCAGGGGAACCAGGAAGCCACCAGGGTGACCAGGCGCCCCCTCCCGAGTCCCCCGCTGTCCCAATTGCTGGTTTCCTGGTACCTGTGTCCTCTCTGTCCATCTCTGAATGGGACGGAAGTGGATGCATCATGCTGAGTGTGTGCCTTAGCACGTTCCTCCCTGGCTTTTCTCAGATTCCCTAGAGCAGTGTTTCCCAAAGTGTGGTACACGTACCCCCAGGGGTACGGGAAGTGTTTGGTGGGGGCACACGTTGCACCGGAGTTTGGTGGGGATATGCACTGCACCGTGCTTAGCTGCGCCTAATTCTATGTTCTCATGAGTACGAGGGGTACTCAGCGTTACAAAAATTATAGAAGGGGTACACCTATGTCAAAAGTTTGGGAAACACTGCCCTAGAGGGTCCGAGACCCCAAAAAGGTGAAGGCCCCTGGCCCTGCGGCCGGACGTGAGGGATGAAAGGTGCGGTGACTCCACGATGGTCTGTTGTTTGGTGGGTGGGTAGGCGGACTTGGCAGGGACAGGCTGCTAAGGGCCAGTCAGTTTCGCTGCTGCTGCCCACACTCCTCTCCCTCCTCTCCTGCCCAGTGAAGCTGGGGTGCACTGTCCTGGGGAGACAAAGGCAGGCTGGGGTCCCTCTGTGTGCATGAGGTTCTGAGCCTCTGCCTAAGCACCCAGGGCCCTTCACCCCCCTGGGGCATGGCTGTGTGCCTCTGACCCCAGGAGCCTGGGCTGAAGAGGAACCCCCTCTGAAGGTGGGGTGGGGGTGGGGGTGGGGTCTCTGGGGAAGCCAGAAGTGCTTCCTGTCCAAGAGGAGAAGAGGAGGGGGCCCACTCCCCAGGATTTCAGGAGGAGCGAGCTGCTGCCAAAACCAACAAAATGCCCCTGAGATTAACCGGCTTCGGACGCCGAGGATCCGTCACGCCTTTCCTCTCGCTACAAAGTGCTTCACAATCACATAATCTACTTAGAGGCTTGGAACACGCTTGTCAGGAGGTGGGGCGCGGAACCCACACGGAAACTGAGGGCAGAGGGGCGAAGCGGTTCACGGGGAGTTTCCGGTCTGATGGGCATGTCACGACCAGACAGGATCCGGGAGCTTGGGGCTCCTGAGTGTAATCTGACAAGGACTTGACTCTGCAGGGAAAACCCCTGTCCTCTCTCCTTCCTTCATGCATTCACCAAGGGTTCACCCTGTGCTTCTCCAGGGCCTGGGCCGCCATCGCCTCCTGGGGGAAGTAGATGGAATTAACCTTGGGCTTCATCATGTCAGTAACGCTAGTGCTGAGTAACCTTGGCCAATTACCTCCCCTCTTTGTGCCTCACTAGTAGTTACCTCACTTATTAAGTAGAGATTTAAAACTCTTCAAGTAAACCATCATAGGAGAAAATACTTACAAATCATATATCTGACAGGAGTTAATATCCAGAATATCTAAAGAACTCCTATCGCCCAACAACAATAACAAAACAACAATCTGATTGAAAAAAAGAAATGGGAGGATTTAAATAGACATTTCTCCAAAGAAGACACCCAAATGGTCAATAAGCACATGAAAAGATGCTCCAGATCACTGGTCACCCAGAAAATGCAAATCAAAGCAAGATAGCACCTCATACCCAGCACAACTAGAACATATTAATAGCTATCACTATAAACAGAGACGCATTGGGGAGGATGGGAAGAAACTGGAACCCTCGTGCTGTGCTGGTGGGAATATGAAATGAAGCTGCCACTGTGGAAAAACGGTATGATGGTTTGTCAAAAAATTAAAAATGCCTGGCCATTGTCCCATGCACCAAAAGGTCACCGGTTCAATTCCCAGTTAAGGCACATGTCTTGGTTGCAGGTCCCAACCCGGTTCAGGGTGCATATGAGAGGTAACCAATCTATGTTTCTCTCTCACATCGATGTTTCTCTCTCTCTCTCTCTCTCTCTCTCTCTCTCTCTCTCTCTCTCTCTCTCTGTCTCACACACACACACACACACACACACACACACTCTCTCTCTCTATCTCTATCTCTCTTATCCATAAAAACATATTTTTTTTTAAATTAAAAACCAGAATTATCGTATGATCCAGCAATTCCACTTCTGGTATATATCCAAAATAATTGAAAGCAGGGTTTCAAAAATATATTTGGACACCCACGTTCTTAGCAGTATTACTCACAATAGCCAAAAATATGGAAGCAACTCAAGTGTCTATCCACAGATGGATGAGCAAATAAAATGTGGTGTATATATACAATGGAATACCACACTGCCTTAATCTATCTATCTATCTATCTATCTATTTATTGTTTTAAAATATATTTTATTGATTTTTTACAGAGAGGAAGGAAGAGGGATAGAGAGTTAGAAACATTGATGAGAGAGAAACATCGATCAGCTGCTTCTTGCACACCCCCACTGGGGATGTGCCCCCAAACCAAGATACATGCCCTTGACCGGAATCGAACCTGGGACCTTTCAGTTCACAGGCCAACGCTCTATCCACTGAGCCAAACTGGTTTCAGCACCACACTGCCTTTAAACAGGGAGGGACTTCTGATGCAGCTGCAACATGATGAACCTTGAAGACATGGTGCTAAGTGAATAAGCCAATCACAGAAAGACAAGTACTCTGTGATTCCAGGTATACGATGTGTAGTCAAATTCATGGAGACAGAACACAGAATGGGGTTGCCAGGCCTGGAGGGAGGAGGAGAGGGGAGCTGTTTGTTGAGTAGAGTACAGGGCTTTCGTTGCAGGATGAGAGGTAACAGGTCCGGAGATGGAACATGAATGCACTTACCCCCAAAATGGCCAAGATGGCAAATTGTATGTTCTGTGTATTTTGCCACAATTAAAAATAATTTTTTAATGTTCCCTCCTAAAAGGAAATAGAATCTACCATATAGTGTTGTTGTAAAGATTAATAATAGATGCAAAATATTTATGGTTTGTAGGCTTTTCCTAATATGTACAACATTTCAATAAAAAGTTTGCACAAAACAGTGTAAAGTGCTTAGAGCAGTGTGCAGCCAGCATGCTCTGCGTGAGGGTAGAGCATCAGAGCTGCCCGTGAATGTGCCTGACACTCCAGCCGAACTGTCAACCCGTGAGGATCCAGACTGACCATCCACCTCTGCTTCCCCAGCGCAGTGCCTGGCACACACCATCATAGCAACAGTACTCAATACTAACAACAACAAATAATAGCAAAATCGTAGCTGAAAAAAAAATTATAGCTGATATTTATTGTGCTTTTACCAGGTGCCACTTGTTATTGTAAGTGCTTTACTTACATTGACCCACTTAATTCTCACAACAATCCTGTGAGGTGTGTACTGCCTTAATTCCCATTTTACAGATGAGGAAACGGAGGCCCACAGGGAGACACCACATTCAGCGCATCAAATGACTTAGGTGACTTATGACATGCTGTGACATTGTCTGCTTCCTGCCTCTGCCGGGAATGCCTCTTTGCCAGCCACGTACTCCTCATCCTTCCTGACCCAGCCCAGGCACCACCTGGTGGCTACCCCTGGGCATCCCTGAGAGAGCTGTGGATCAGCTGCCTCCAGCACGCCCCCTACTGGGGACAGAGTGGACAACTGGGGCATGTGCCCTTGACTGGAATTGAATCGTGACCTCCTGGTTCACAGTCGATGCTTAACCGTTGAGCCACAGTGGCCAGGCAGGAGATCTCTTTTGTGAAGCCACACACACACACACACACACACACACACACCCAAGAACAGAGCCAGTGGGGACAGCTCTCTTCACTCAGAGCTTCAGGAAAACAGTCCCCAGATGCAGTGAGGGAGACTCAGGCAGCAGAAGCCCAGGATCGCATGCCAGTCAGGGGAGCATGTCTCCCCAGGCCACCAACTGTCTCCTCAGAGATGCCCCTCCAGACAGACGGCATGGGAAGGCTCGGGGGAGCCAGAGCCAGGCTGAGCTGCCCTGGAAGCAGAGGATGCTGGGAAATTGGGCAAGCATATGGGGGGAAGACAGAGCCCGCAATCAGGCTGTGGGCCGTGGGGCAACCTGGGGGAACAGAACCTGCCGTGTTTATAGGAAAGGGCTCCTTCCTGCGTGTGTCCCAACAGACCCGAGCCGGCCGGCCAGGGTGGTGAAATCAGGACAGGCAGGCGGCAGTGAAGAAACCCTCCCCCTGTGCCCTCTCTTCTCCCCCTCTCCGCCCCCCCAGGCGAGGAGGAGGCGAGGAGCGCTGGGCTGAGCTGCCCCATAGTCCTCAATGGCCTGTGAAACCCAACTCAGTTAAAAAGAAACAGGCAGGGAGAATCCCCCTGGGCTCGAGGAGGGATGGCTTGGATCTCTGGACATGAGGACTCAGCCCACGGGGATTTTAATCAGGTTCCTGTATTCCTCCCTCCAACACGGCTGACCACCCACCGTGTGCTGACATAGGCCGATGGGAAGGCATGTCCCTGGCTTGGAGGAGGACGCAGACAGCAGCCCCACCACGGAGCAGCGGGACACACACACCCCTACACACACAGGGAGGTCAGGCCTGGGAGGGCAGGAAGGCCCAGAGGGAAGTGGGTGGGGGCCCAGCTGAGTCCCCAAAGGCGGGTGTGGAAGGGGTGGTGATGGGGCCCCACCAGTGAGGGAGCAGCAGGGAAATCCACTTCAGAGCTTGGCTGACCAGACACAAAGGTCCCCACTCAGCAGCAGGGTACTTCTGCCCTCTGTGACACAGACCCAGCAGGAAAGAGAGCAGCCAGGGCCCTTAAATGACACCTCACCCCCCTCCCAGCCCCCCAATCACCTGCCCGGGGGAGCAATGAGGGTGACCACCCATCATCCCCTTAAAACCCATTGTTTCTACCACAGTGACTAGGACGTGGTTCCCAGACGATCCTCAGAGAGAAACCCACCAAGAGGAGCCCCTCCCAGAGGGATTCTGGGTCTGATTCCTGAGCTCCCGGGAGAGAAAGGAACACAGACAACACAGACAGGGCAGGAAGGTCTCAGCTGGGAGGGGTCAGGGGCCAGGGAGGACTGGGGTCCGTGAGTCACAAGTGGCCCTGAGCTGGAGTAACGCCATGTCTGTCATCATGTTTTATTAGTAAAACCAGACCCAGCCCTCTCTCCTCCAGGAAGACTTCCCTGATTGACTATCACCCAACTGCCACTCATCGCTCTTCCCCCTCCCAGGCTGGCTTGTTGGCTCTGCCCTGGTCCCATCTCTGACTCAGCTGCACAAATCCACCTCAAGGTCTGTCTGCCTTCTAGACTGGCCCTGCCCTGCCCCCCAGGTAACTGCCAGCATCATCTTCCCCCAGTCCTGGACCTTCTCTTTGCACGCTGACCCTTGGGGCTCTCGTCCAGAGACAAGAGACCTTCAAACCAGGGTCCACGCTGAGTGCCTCTGCCCTCTGTCCTGTCCCACCATGGAGGTGCCGTGAAGGAGTGATCAGCATCTCCTTTCAGGGGGTCAGCTCCCCAAAGAGAAGGCTCCTCTCTCTCAGACAGGGGCTGAGAGCAGGGGCTGCCTCCCCCCTCAGACAGGGGCTCCTGGAGGCAGGGGATCTCACTCACCCCAAATAGATGACCCCCTATTTGGGGGACCCAAACCTCCCCTCCTGGACCCATCGCTGACACCCTAACCATGAAGAGAGTGACACCAGAAACTGCTGTGAAGTTGCTTTATTCTCTTCCCTCCCGGGTGCCCTCGCACACCCATGCACACACATGAGCACACACACTGGGCACACAGGCACGCGTGGCAGAGCTCCACTCGGGCTCCCCTAGTAGAGGCCGTGCTGGGCGCAGTAGCGGGCGCACAGCTGCCGGTGGTACTGCAGGTGGTAGTCCCTCAGCAGCCAGCCCAGCACGTACAGGAACTCGTCAAAGCAGATCTGGTTGTCCTTGTCCTTGTCCGCCGCCCGGAACAGCTCGGAGACGAAGTACGGCTTCCTCCGGCCCTGAGGAGGGGCACGGGGTCAGCCGGCACCCAGGCACGGGCCCTGGCAGAGTTTCCGGCTCCACCGCCCGAGGGGAAGAAACGGCGGGGAAACTGGGTGTGGCCCTAGGGGCACAGGGGGCCGGGCACCTGGACCCGGGCCGCAGGGGGCAGAAGGAGGGAGCAGCCTGGGTGCTGGTGGCTGGCTGACCGGCTGGTGGCTGAGCAGGGCCGGGCGCCTGGCCCTCTGCTGGTGGCTTCTGAGTGTCTCCCCAGCTGAGCATCCGCCCCGCAGGGCCGCCCAGCTTGGGGCTGCGCACGGGGAGTTGCCCGAGGCACCGCCAACTGCCCCTCAGGTCTGCATCTCTAGCACCACTGCAGGGCCGGCACCCAGTGGGCCAGGTTTCCGCAGGGGGTGCCACCCGCCCAGGATTGATCATGGCCACTGGCCTGTGTCCTAAGGAAAGTGCAGGATGGGGGGAGGCCAAGGCCATGGGCCCTGGGCTGTCCGGTGTCCCAGAGCACTGGCCCTGAGGGCTAAGGCTGGGGGTGGCCAAGGAGAGCAAAGGAGCATTCAGGCGGCAGGGACGGCAGGGAGGAAGTCAGGTCAGAGTGCATGAGGAGACAGGACAGGCCACGAGGAGGGAGCCCCCACAGAGCGGGCTGACCCCACGGTGCCCAGGCCCCCTGCCCGGGCAGCTCTCCCAGGCTTCCCTCTCGCAGCCCCCCTGGCCGGGCCGTCATCTCTGCCCTGTGCCCAGGTGCTGGCTCTGTGGGCCCCGTGCCCAGGTGACAAGGTTTCCCTAGAAACAGGGGACCAATCACAGTCACCAGCCCCCCCTCCATGACCTGGGGGCTGCACTCCAATAAGCCAAGGACAAGACTCTCCTCTGATGCTCCCCAAAAGGAGGCAGGGGGCCTGCAGGGACTAGAGGGCTAGTCCTGGAGGCAGCAGCCTTGGATCACCTGGGGGCCTGGCACCGCAGGCACCGAGGACAGACACTCGGGTTGGCCTTGCCGTCTCCAGGGAGCCGGGTAATCACATGGCTGCTCCTGATGGCAGAGAAGATTCCAGGCCTGAGCAGGTGGCTGAGCAGCCTAAGGTCAGGGCTGGGCCGCTGGGCTGGTCTGAGACTTGGCCTCAGAGGGGGAAGGGGGGAGGGGAAGCTCCATTTCCTACCTGCCCACACCTAGTCCCTCCTGGCTTCCCCTTAACCCAGTGGTCAGCAAACTCATTGGTCCACAGAGCCAAATATCAACAGGACAACGATGGACATTTCTTTTGAGAGCCAATTTTTAAAACTTAAACTATATAGGAGGTACAATGTTATTAACTTAATTAGGGTACTCCTGAGCTGGCCTTTGCTAAAAACTCAAGGGGCCAAAGAGCCGCATGTGGCTCGTGAGTAGCAGTTTGCCGACCACTGTCTTAACCCAACTACTACCCTTGAGGGTGGGTAGGAGGAGGCTGTGCTAGACCTCAGGAGAAGGGGCTGGACTCAAAGGGCAGGTGGGGCAGGGCCCAGGGGCAGAGGGAGGGTTTAGGACCTGTTCTCAGGGGAAGCAAAACAAGCAGAGCCCCACCCTGCTTTGGGGATAGGATGGAGCTGCAGGGGTTGCGATGCTCGGGCTGGAGCGGGGCCAGGCAGGGAGTTTCAGGAGGAAAAGCCGCCAGAGCCGTCCTCCCTATGGCCGCTGATCCAGCCTCAGCTCTCCCCCGCCCCCTCCCGCCTAAGTTCCAGTACTTTTGGGAGGTGCTCCTTATACAAAACCCTCACGTCAAACCCCACAACCCACCTTCTACCCACCCCACCTGCCCCCGGCCCCGCACCAGGCTCTCCATGAAGCGGGGCACGTTGTCCATGAGCAGGGCCCTCAGCTCCTCCAGGGACAGGGTCTCCACGTCCCCCTCCCGGGCCGCGTACTGATGGTAGCTGCGGATGATCTGGAAGAGGGATTCCTCCACCGGCGTGTCCGTCATGGCAGCAGGACAAGGGCGGAGTCCAGAGATGTGGAGGTGGAGCTGCTGGGGCCAGTGGAGAATCTGGGAAGAGAGAGCAGCTCCTCCTCGGGGCCAGCCCAAGCATCCTCTGCCCTTTGCTTCCTGCCGCCCTGGTCTCAGGGCCCCTCCCTGCCCATCCTCGCGGCCTCCAATCATGGCGGCCGGTGTTGTGACGCCTCACAGGGCCTTCGGCAGCACAGCGGAGCCTTCATTGCATTCCTGAAATGACATCACAGGCATGTGCTCCCTAAGATTAACTCAGCCAGTTTCAGGGACCCAGCTGCCCTCAGGGCCTGATCTGAAACATCTCAGACTCACACAAGGTCACAAGATCATCCATCTCCCTGTCTCCCAGTTCATCCTCCCAATTCACCCTCCCAGCTCATCCTCCCAGCTCACCCTCCCAGCTCATCCTCCCAATTCACCCTCCCAGCTCATTCTCCCAGCTCACCCTCCCAGCTCATCCTCCCAGGTCATCTTCCCAGCTCCAGGCTTGGGTGGGGCTACACACACAACTCCAATGCATCCCCCTGGCATGTCCTCCCTCAGTCAGTGAACCCCAAACTCCACAGTGAATGAGGGACATTCACTCATCTGACAACTATTTCTGGAGGCCCTGCCGTGTGCCAGGACCCTCCAGGCCACATGGTGGGACACCCGGCCAGCTCACAGGGCGGGAAGGAGCGGAGGGGACAGTCACACACGGTGAACACTGCTAATTTAGTGGCACAAACAGGCACTCTGGGCACCCAGGAAGGGACCTGTCTGCCTGGGTTGCTGAGGAAGACCTCCTCAGGAGGCAGCTTTTCAGGTGGGAGTGAAGAAAAGATGCTGTTGCAGGTGAAGCATGGAGACCAGCTCTCCAGAGGGAGGGAACCGCATGGTCAAAGGCCTGGTTGGCCTCAGATAGCTACCACCTGGGCCTTTGAGTGGCAGGTGAACTCCTCCCCATCTCCAGCTGGGCGGGGCACGCAGCGGGTGAGTGAGCCTCCCAGAAGGGGGCGCCAAAGGGCAGGCTATTGAACCCGAGATTAAGCCTCCACCACATCCCTGAAGGTTTGAGAGAAACAGTAAATACTGAAGCCAAACTTTTCCCACTTTACAGGGTGAGCCTTCATCTACCCAACATCATGATTCCTTCGGCGAATAAGTGGTTCACCATACACTAAAATAAAATAAAATTGGCCCACGTGTCTAAGAGGTAAAACAATTTGCAATGCCAAGCTATAGTCACAGAGAATTTATTGAATACCTCAGATTCAGCCATCATTCCCCTGGGAATTTATCCCAAGAAAGAAATTAAACAGCAATAAATCTGGTAAAAAAAAAAAAAAAACACCAAGTAGGTGTTTACCACAGCAATGTCTATAGCCCTTTAGGGAAAATAAAGACCTAGAAACCGCGTTGTCTTCGTGTTTGAGAGTTTACCTATGAACTAGTGGCTCAAATTAGGTTTGATTCCGGTCAGGGCACATGCCTGGGTTGCAGGCTTGAACCCAGTAAGGAGTATGCAGGAGGCAGCCAATGAATGATTCTCATCACTAATGTTTCTCTCTCTCCCTTCCTCTCTGAAATCAATATATATATATATATATATATATATATATATATATATGTATATATATATATATATATATATATATATATATTTAAAAACAACCTAGTAGCCACCTAATTAATGAATTTGGTGTGCCAATATGACCTTGGACAATTGGTAGGTAATGATTTATCACTTAAAAATAATTCATTTTTGACACAGAGCTTGTTGGGGTTTCATATTGTACCTCCTTCACACTGCCTTTTTTTCAATCTGGGACAAAAAAAACAACAACCAAAAAACCCTCCCCCATGACACACACACACACACACACACACACACACACACACTGTCCCAATATACAGTGCTGATCTCCTTACAGCTGTGCGGTAACTAGTCTTCTCGTTAATACTGTGCTATAGACATCTGCTCACACACTAAGTCAATGTAGCCTGATTTTTAACGAGTGCATAGTGATCATTTATTTGCATATGTCAACATTTGTTCTTTAATCCATTACCAGTAACCATTTAAATTACATTAGGTTCATACGATTCAAGGTTAATTTTTTCTTAGCACTGACATTTCTTATTAGACTTTATTAAATATAATTTTGTTTTATTAACATTTTACACTCTATTTGAAATACAGTTTATTTTAACTGAATATTACAGAAACTACAGTCAAATTTTAAGACGAGCTGCAGGTGGTTCTTCCTCTTGGAGGTCAGGGAAGGCTGTGCCCGGAGCTGCTCTGGCTCTGGAGAGGCCCTGGAGCCAGCGTTGCCTCTTGAGGTCTGTGTGGCTCTTGCCCTGGAGCTGGTTCTGTAGATCCCAGTCATGATCACCATGACTGCCTCGGTGTGTCTTCTAAAGACAGAAACTCTCCCCTAGCCATCGATGGAGACCCAGCTCAAGAGCCCACCCAGGAAGTCCTCCCAGACTACAGGCCCTGGTTGAAACATCCCGCCTCAGTTGAGACCACAGCCTCGACCTGCTGAGAATCGCTGGCAGAAGTACTCAGCTGAGCCATGCAGGATTCTCCATCCAAGAAACTGTGAGATAATAAGTGTTTCCTGATTGTTGCTAAGTGATGGGTAATGTTGTCACATGGCAATAGATCGCTAATACAGTTGCCCCTGCACCAGGCACTGGACCGGTCCTCCTCCCTCGCTCCCCTATCTCCTCCCAGGCTCCCTCCAGCCACACTGACCTCCTTTCTAAGCTCCTCTCTGTCCAGACACCTTCTGCCTTCAAGTGTCTGCACAGTTATGCCTTCTGTCGGGAGAAATATACCTGCGTGTTAGGGAGCCGAGGAAGGAGTCATCCATGTGGACAAATGACTCACCCACAGAGTGCCTGCAGGTGGGACAGAAGGAGATTTTGGAGGCAGTTGCTAATTTCTCCCTGAAGAATGTGGCCTGGCTGAGGGGTTAGCAGGAGACTGAGCAGGAGGCAGGGAATGACCCAGCTGGATGAGGGGATCCTCAAAGAGGGGAGCTACTGAAGCAGCAGGGACTTGTCCCGAGGGGACCCTGGATGGACAGATGAGTGCCTACAGGCATCCTGGCACCATGGAGAGGGCTCATCTGTGGGAGAGCCAGAGCTTGCTCAGGCAGCCCCTGTGTCTTGCTTCTTTCTAAATGCTCGGCCTCTGCCACCTTGCCTGGCCTGAAAGAGCCTGCGGGGAACGGCACGCCTCTTTCCACAGCTAGCGGAGTCACTGTCACTGATGACTCAGCATGAGCTCTCCACTCCTCCCTCGTGCCCTCTCCTCCCCGCTCCTCTTCAGTCCTGTCTTCTCACTTGCTTCCCACTCTCTGGACTCCAGCATTAGCTTTACTCCTCACGCCTGGAACACCCATCACTCTGTGCTTTCCCCAGACACCCAGCTCCCAGCATTTAGCAAACCATTGCGAGGGTCAGCTCAGCAGACAGGGTGGCTCTCAACCTCCACAGGGACACCCACATGGGCTAACACACACACACACACACACACACACACACACACACGGACACAGGACAAGGATCCAGTCCTCTGGGCACTGCTGAGTGTCCCATGCACAGTGACCAGTGCCATGTGCCCCCAAAGCCCTCCACCCAATGCTATTTCAGTGGTGTCATCCCCCTATGTCCCTGGGGTCCTGCAGGAGGGAGGGCTAGAGGTACTGTGTTCACACCTCCCTTGGCTCCTGCTCCCTGCAGTTCCTGGATCCCCAGATGCTGATCGTGGCTTGAGAAGGACAAGCATGGCTGGGCCAGCAGAATGCTCTGCACTGCTGACCCCGGGACCTGGCAGGCTGGCTGTGCTAGGGAGCAGGGGCAGAGGTGGACAGAGGCCCTGCTGAGAGAGGTGGTCAGTTGTACTGGAGGCCAAAGAGAGGGCACCCTCCTGGCACAGTCCTGGGTAATCCCCCATGGAGAATCCACAATTACATTCACCAAGAAGGCACAGTTCTGACAGAGTAAGTAGCCAAAGAAAAGCAGGAAACGGGCTGTATCTGGGCAAGAGACACTTTATTGTTTCTTGGGGTTTCTGGAAGCCTCAGGCTTGGTTGGAATCACTGTCCTCTCCAGAACAGAGTGGGGCCCCATGGCTATGTTCATGGTAGTCCGTGGCTATGACTCCCAACACTGACAGGAACTCAGAAAACTCAATCTTCTTATCCTTATTCTTGTCGTGGTCCTCAAAGATATTGGCCAAGAAATCTTTGCCTCTTTCTTCCTGTGGGAAAGACAAATTCAGTCCCAAAAGTGTTATGGGTGGAAGAGGAGGAGGAGGCATACAGGAGGAGGGGGAGAGAGACACCTGGGGCCACACAGGTGTAGCTGGTGTGGGCCAGTGGAGGGTGTCTGGGGATAACGGAAAAATTAGCATTACCCTGCAGGTCACTGAGGGAGATTCCTTGGATCAAATATCAGCATGAAAGAGAGACCTAGTGCTGGTGGGCAGACTCTGCCCAGAGCCCCACTGATCAATGAGCTGGTGGGTGGGTGGTCTTTAGACCCAGACCTGCTACCCCACCCACTTCCAGGACCCCATCTACCTAAGTTCTACCCAGAAAATAAAGATAGGCCCTACCCCTTGTCTCTTCATTCCTAACCCTCCTCTCCTGTCTCCTATCTGCCTTCCCGAATCTTCCATGCTCAGTGCCCTCTTTTGTTCACCCACTCTCTGTGTCACTTAAAAAAAGGAGCCTCTCTTTTTTTAATCAGTTCAGTATATTCTAACTGTCAGACTAAATCAGGTCTACAAATGAGCTTTTCATTGTAATGAAAGGTGTTAATTTTATCAGCCATGGAATTTCCATCGCCTTCCCTTGGATCTCAGAGAACCTGATGGAAGCTTCTAGAGGCAGAGCCTGAGCCTATGGGCTTCAGTCTCCTGGATGGACAGTGACCAGTGGCAGGGGACCCATTCTTCACTCTCCTATTTGACCACTTAATAACCACCCTTCATCTCCAGATGCCTTTACTCTGGGCCACCTGTATCATCTCCTTCATCCCGATAATAACTCAGGTGAGTCCTCTTAGGCCTCTTTGCAGATGAGAATATGAAGGATGAGAGAATGGGATTGATTTGTCCAAGGTCCTCCACCATGCCAGGCCCCAAGTAACCTTGAGAAGTCACCCAGACTCACACAGGCCTTGAGGAAGTTAGGGAAATTCTCCTTCAGCATCTTCATCAGGCCCTGCATGCCAATCGTGTCATCCGGTTTGGTGTATTCGTGGAACAGATCGATCAAGTCCATCACGGACTTCTCAACTGGAGTGTTGCTGCTCATCTTCTTTTTACTGGAAGCTGCCAGAGAGAAAGACAGGAC